ATCAAGTCTGTTGGTAAACCTGTCACTCACAATACTCGACAAACCACACAAGGAGCCTGGATGAAAGACCCACTAGGAATCATGGGTACCGAGACCATATTCGTTATGGAATCGTATTACTCACAAAATGTACTGGAGGAATTTGAAAACATGGACATGTTCAAAGCAGGTGTGACTCGTAAGACATACATACTGCCCTATAACTGGGACGGAACTGGAGCAGTGGTATATGGACCATATCTCTACTATAACAGGTAATATTTTCAGTGTCCTGCACATAACATTTCATGAAGACAGGGTTAAATAACTCGCTTTCTGATTTTTCTTAATTAAAGCACAATATCTGTCACTTCAGTTGTAGTAGTCATCCAGATTTTTAAACAAACTAAAATTGCTGAATTTTCTTGTCATGTAGAAAATTTCAGATTCTCGTTTCTTTGTCTCCCTCACTCTCTTTCTTTCTATTTTTAGCTCTTTATCTATTTATTTATCTATTTATTTATTTATTCGTTTTTTATTTATTTATTTATTTATTTATTACTTCTTGTTTTTATTTGTCGTAACAGAGAAAATTCGGCCTATATCATCAAGTACAGTCTACGCAGAGAGCTCATGAAAGCCACAATCACCGTGAATTCTTTCACACCAAGGAAAAGCAGCTATGGTTGGGGCGGATACAGTTCAATGGACCTGGCAGTTGACGAGCAGGGATTGTGGGTATTATGGGGTAGTACGGCAAACAGCGGGAGACTGTACGCATACAAAATTGACGTTTACAAAAACGTCATCACTCACACTTGGTCACTGAACACAGGTACGCACAGACTATACCAACCACTTAAAAATTTGACCGTTATCAACGAGGACTTATACTAGGATCGGGATAACACCTCCTCAGTTTCCCAGATAACGCCGTTGTGGAAGTGCGATAACTTGGATTGATCTTCTATAAATACACGACAGGGCCGTAGCCAGAACAAATTTGACTGAGGTAATGTACCTGGTTAAACTCTCTTTCTAGGTATTTACATGTAGAGTGTTTATAGAGACTATTAACAACAAAAATGAAAAAATGACTGAGGCAAGTGCCTTCGTTTGCCTGTTACTAGTTATGGCCCTACACGAATGTGCAGAGACATGCATGGTATCCCTCTTCGGGTTTTAACTCGATATTCACGAAAGAGCACCGCTGCATATAATAGATTTTTGATCTGTCCTCCTCGTGCATGTGTTAAAAAACAACTGATTTTTCGTTTTTTGCGAAGACGGCTGTAATCATTAAAGTGATGATTTATTCACAGAACCACCGGCGTCACCAGGCATGTGTCAACGTTAAAAGCTCAGCTCCGTGCAAAGTTATCGCTCAGGCCACCAGCATTTTAAGAAATGGTACCGTTTCTTAATTTGCATGCACGCTCAATACATAAAGTAGCAACGTAAATTGCGTGCGCAATATGCACACAGAACATTAGCGCGAGCTTCCCCTTAGAAGCGAAAAATCTCAACAAAACAAAGACTGTAGCAATCATGGGGTCATCTATAATTTTACACGCAAAATTATGGTATATTTTAAATGTGGCAATCAGTTGTAAAATCCTTATAAAAAAAGTGCAGTTTATGTAATAAAGAGCGTCTCAAAGCTGTTTTTCGCAAAGACATCGACTGCATCAACTAAGCCAGTGCCTTTCTCTTTTTTGGTTTTGTACAGAACCAATGAGCTGGATGGGCAATGCTTTTGTGGTCTGTGGAGTGATCTACTGTATCGACTACTATAACAACAAACCCACTACCATCAACTTTGCTTACGACACCAAGACAGGAACACAGTGGAACCCCAACATACAGTTCACAAACCAGTACGGCTACAACTCCATGGTGGATTACAACCCCAGAGAAAAAGTGCTGTACGCTTGGGACAACAAGCGTCAAGTTACTTACTCTCTTACTTTTGAGGAACATTAGATTCGTGGAAGACTCGAATCTAAAAGCTGATTGCTTTGCTTTTTTGTAAAAGACACGCGCAAACAAAAGAATTTTAAGTTTACAATCTGCACTCTTTTAGACTTCTGCCTTTCAGTTTCACAAATTAAGTAACACCTTTTACTCATTTCACGTACTGAAAACCCGTCTGCGATCTCAACTGGCTTTTCGAGTCAGACCGTTTGTTCTGTTCGTATCAGGTTGCTATTCAGATAAAAATGCAAAACGCATTGAGTGATTTTAATGAGAACCAAGATCTTTTATTAAGAACTGTCTCTGATTGTCAGAAAAAGTGTAAATTGTAAATGTAGTTGCTGACGAACCTGAAGGAAAAACTGGCCTAAGTTTGAATCAAAAGATGAAAGTTTTGGTACAGGTAAAACTGCTGTTAGTGCTTACTGCTAAAATAAAATGTGAAAAATAAATCAGTTGGCTGTACATTAATGAATCTGTAAGTAATAAACACACGGATGACTTTTTTTGTAAAAGATCATAATGCCAACAATTTTGTTATTTGAAACATTGACTCTCACGGACTGTTGGGAGTTAAATTGTGCTCTTAGAAATTGATTGGGAGGGAGTTGGCTAAGCCCGAGACGATTGAAGAAGGTAAAGGGGAAGGCAGGAAAATCTAACACGTCGAGAACATATCCTAAAATTTCAATTTGTTGCCATAATTTTGCAACGGACTTTACAGATCATTCTAAAGGTCAAATGAGTGTATTAAGGCACACAAAGAAAGCAAAAACTGGCAATATTAATCAAATAGGCCATTACCTTTATCCTCTGTGCCAAAACAAGTCTCCGTGCGGAACCATGCAATTCATTTTGTCCAAAGGAAGGATAGAGCTTATGATACTATGGCACCATTACGCCATAGATTCTTTCGAATTTTATCTAGGCCATGTATATGTGTATGTGCCTCGTTTTTTGGCCTTTTTAAAAGTGGACTTTCCATACGTTTGAGATACCTTGCTTGACTGGCCTGCTGAGCTATCTTTTTAACAGCTTGTTATTACCCTCCAGTCTACTTATTTGAATTTTTTTTTTTTTGTTACCTGCTTGCCATGATCTAAAATACTCTAGGTGTAAAGTTGATATAGTTGCTAAATAAAATAGGTGAGCAAGTAAGTAACAAGGAAGCAAGCAAGTAAAAGTTATATATCTTGAGATGATTTTTTTTAAAATGCTTTTATATTCGCCAAATCTCATGATAAGAGCGCGAAAAAGGCTAGGTACGAGTTTAGCGCTACAGTGTTACGTAGTACTTGTAGGTAGCGGTTTTCGCGTAAGAAATGACAACAGTAGACAACGGGAAATTGTATATTCTTTTCTTTCTTTTATAACTCTCTTCCTACTCAACAAGATCGTGTGCTCCCTGTGGTGAAATGACTAAGTTCTACGTGTTTTGGAGAACGCGAACCGCCATGGCTAAGTTTTGGTATCTTCTTTTGGGAATGAACGCTGTCGGTGCATGTTTAGCCTGAGCCAGTTTTTAGACCGGTAGACGTACTGAACTGATTTACAGAGTTGCGACATTCGAAGGGAAAGTATAAATTCATTTTTTACAAGGCGTCGTCGCCGCCGTCGCCGTCGTCACGGAGCTTAAGAAACCACGAGGGCGACGCCGAGGACAATATCGACTAAAAAATGATTTTATGTTTTACTCCCGAGTCTCGCGGTTACAACTGTACCCTAAAGTCATCTACTTTGTTTATCAGTGTCAAAGCTATCACGAAACTGAATGTAGGACACATCGATAAATTCGAAATAAAAATTTCCAAAATTAGCCGTCGTGGTTCACGTTCTCCAGACAGCGCATAATTTGGTCATTTCACGTTGCTGTTTTGCAGAGGACGGCAATGAAATGTACCAAGAATTGTAACGCACGTGCACAGCCATTGTTCTCCTCATTAAACATTTTGTTTAGCGACGTTGCCGTTGCCGTTGCCGTTGCCGTTGCTGTTGCCGTTGCCGTCGTGGTTTTCTTAGGGCTGCGGGTTCACACTTTGACATAAGCATAAGCATAAGCATAAACAAAAGCATAAGAAAAATACGTGTACACCGGGGTTACACAAGCATAAGCATAAGGATGGCTATTGCACAGGCACAGTTCACCTCTCAGGAATCAAAGATGGCGGATAACGAAGTCGAAATTGGATTGTTGCTACTGTTAAGCGGTAGAAATCGAAGAAGATTGCTTATGCATAGACAAACACAAAGAAAACCGAAAAAGGTCTGGATAAGAGACATTTTTACGAGAAGAAAGACACAAGGCGATTAGTATAACCTTGTACAAGAATTAAAACTGGGAGACAGAGAATTTTATTTCAGGTAAGCTTACGTGTACGGGGGAATATTACTACATCACTCCAAGCCAACCTTTTCTTGTTTTTGTCTTTAAAGTCTGCTGATTTTTTGTCATACAAACAAGGATAATTGCGGACAGATAACGCCAACTACTTGTTCACCTGTGTCGCCATGTTTTCAGCTGACAGATTCTGACAGAGCGAGCCTGGATTTTATTTTTCTGTATTCCGCTGACAAGAAAACTCTTTATGCTTACGCTTATGCTTATGTATGCCCGGTTCACACTCAAGTATTCACAGCATAAGCATAAGCATAAGAAAATGGAAAAAGTTCCATTCCTTGTGCTTATGCTTATGCTCATGCTTATGTAACCCCGGTTCACACATATTTTTCTTATGCTTATGTTTATGCTTATGCTCATGCTTATGTCAAAGTGTGAACCAGCCCTAAGTGTTGACAGGATTGATGACCAAAAGGTTTTATCACAT